TGAGTATTTCTTGAGATATTTTAAACGTTTTAGACTCATTTTTTAATTTCGCTGATTACAGCGCCATCTGTCATCAAAAAAATGTTTGTAATAGGTAAAATTTATGTAACTTTTTCTGAAGAAGCGAAATCTGCAATAAAAAATGGGGGTTCCCATTTAAAATTTTAAACTTACCCTCTCTTTCACCCACAGCGGGTGGGGTTGGGGGGTCATGTTAGATGTCAAAAGATAGCTTTTTTGAAAACATTGAATACATATATTTTCAGATTTCTGATCCGATGTGTATTTCTCGAGATATTCGACCGTTTCCACACTTTTCGGACACCCTGTATATTAAATCTAAACTGCATACCTATCTAAACCTGGTCACACATATGAACACGCTGTATATTACTAATTATCTTTCTTAAATCTCTTCATTACTTTTCATATTTGGTATTTTTAATTATTTGCTTGTACGCACACGAACACACATACACGAACGCACGCACGCGCACGCACACGCACACGCACACAATATATTGGTAGTCCCCCTCATTTTCTTAATCTCTTCGTTATTTTTTTTATTCGATATTATTTGATGATCATCTTATTATATTATGAGGTCTAGCAGCGCGCTAAGTATTTTTACATAAAAAATTTTATTTTAATAAAATTTTCTCATTTTGTGATGCTTCGTCTTTAATTTTTTTTAGATTAAATGTTGTATTCCATTGCAAATATAAAAGACTCTTGAATAGAAAGATAAAGGTACGTATTATTTTGTCTCGTTAATTAAATGTTATATGTTGCAATAAAATATATGTTCTTTTCGCAATTTACAAAATACAATAGTATATGTTATATGTTGCAAGAAATTATATATTTGTTTTGCAATTGGCGTAATTTAAAGATTTGATTTCATTTCTTTTTTAATACATGCATACGTACTACTGATGGGTAATTTATAATAAAAAATTAACTACATTACCACTTGAACTATATTATTTATGTAACGGTTTTTTTTTAGTTTATGTAAAGTACAGTTTTTTTATGGAAGGTACATGCACACTTGGCGCCTTTTTTTTACCTTTTTTTAAAAAGGTAATTTTGTTAAGATATCACGCATTTTGTAGAGTTAAACATCTTATATTCTTATATGATTAATACTATATCTCTTCACACGTGTGTGTAATACTAGAACATATTATCTATTATCAACATTTTCTAAAAATAATGTAGAAATGTTTTTAGCAGCTCTAGGCCATTGCTTTTTTGTAACTTGCGTATCATCAGTTTCAATTCAAGATGAACCTTCTCTATACATACTTATAAAATGATCGTTTTCGATACATGGACTATAGTGAAATATAGCATTCATAACTTTATACGGCTGTCCAGCTATTAATATTGCACTTGTTGAAAGAGCACATAAATTAATTTTTTTTGGCACCTTCACTAATGTTCCATTTTGGTATGAAAATGAAATTAAATGGATGATTATCTTTTTTTCCGTGGGTTGGGCTACCTATCGGGCGCGTCTCCATGTGGCGGATAGGAGGACGCCCGGAGGGGTGCCCGGTCTCCCGGGTGTAAAACCCCGTGTGTGACTGGAGGTCCCTCCGGGTAGTGACGGTTATAAACGGACCTCCAGGTGTAAAGCCCTGCGTGGGTTCGAGAAGACCGTTGCCGTGGACCAGCTCCCCAAGCCAAGCTGAAAGCCATCGAGGTGAAGGCTGTGTGGCACTGGGGGAGCAGTGTTGTGATCGATGCTCTGGGGTACCGGGCGAAACCCCAGAGTATCTAGCCTTACCCACGCATGCGGGGCTTTGCGTGGGTGGACATAATCGTTCCCTAGTTACTCGTGGGACTTGCATGGATAAGTTTCAAAATCTAAACATACAAGAGGTAACCGAGGGCTCGAAAGGGCACTCGGCGGTGACTGCGGCGATCGCGCCGCAAGTACGGGCCTGCGAGGGCTCGGAAAGCGGGGTGGTCGTAGCAGAGGTAGAAATGGTTCCTGTTTTGGAACGGGCCCCCTCGGGCTCGGAGAGAAACGGGAGTGATGCGGGCGATGCGCGGGCACCTCATAAGAGGAACCGCAGCGAGGCCCAAAAGAGAAGGGCAAAGAGGGACAAGGAGAAGGCTCCTGAAGGGCAAGCTCCGGTCCCTCGACGGCCCTTATTACGCTGGTGGAGGGGGCAACAGGGCTCACCGGTATAAAGCGCCGCGCGGGCTCTGATCAAA